AGCCACTCCTCGGAAGGAAGGTTGGGCAATCCTACTTCTGTAGTGATACTGTCTCGGAAACCCAAGGAGGGGTCGCTATGAGTCGGGTTTGACTCGATGGCACATAACAACAACAACAACATTATTGTGCTTTGGGTACAAATTTACAAAGCAAACTTGTTTTACATTCAACAGCTCATGCACATCTGATTTCATGGCCCTGATTACCATCCTCAACCATAAAAAACTTCCCTCTCCTCTCTGTGACCACCCCCTCCCTGTGCCCTTCTTATCTATGCATTTCTGTCTGTGTATCTTTCCTTCTATGTGAATGTTGCCCCTCTCATGTCTCATGGGTGATTGATCCAAGGGGTGTATCTCCCTAGAGTAGGTGAGTACATTGGTAGGTGTTCTGTATATAGGTCTTTCTACTATTGGGCTGTAGATGAGTAAATCATCTTTCTACTGTTGGGCTGTTGACTCATATAAATGAGTCAATTTCTAGGCCTGAAGGGTAACCCAGGGCCACAGTCTCAGGGTGTCACCAATCTCTTTCTGATCAGTAATTCTGGTCATTTTTGTGTTTTTGAATTTTGTTCCATATTTTTCCTCCCACTGTATCCAGGATCTCCAGATTTGATCCTTTTCAGAGTGGTTGGCATTGGTAGCTGCGCACCATCTAGTTCTTCTGGTCTCAGGGTCACAGAGGATGGGGTCCTCATCCTCCATCTTATCTTTGGACTAATTGTTTCCAGATAACTTTGATTGTCTTCACTTTTCTTTGCTCCAGACAACAGGAGACCAATAGCTGCATCTTGGATGGCTGCTCGAAAGCTTTTAAGACCCCAGTCACTACTCACCAAAGTAGGTTGTAGAACAAAATTTTTATGAACTATGTGTGCCACTTGAGCATGATGTCCCCTGAGACTATGGGCCCGAGCCCACAGGTCTGGTGATTCTCTCTCCCAAGATGTCTGATTGTCTCTGAGAAGTTACTCCAACCCTGTCCTCTGTTGCTTCTGTAATGTATGTGGCTAATTTTGTAGCACAAGAGCATATGTAAGATTATCTTCAGCCAAATCTATCCTTGATCTAGGGTGTATTCCTGTTCACCTATCCCCACTTGATCTTCTCACCTGTCTATGCATTAATCTGTAGCCTGGTATTTGGTGCTAGTGATAAATGCAGTGTTGTACATGTAATCATATTTGCCTCTGCTGTCTATATCTTTTGTGTATATTTCAGTGTTTTTCCTCTCCCCAATGTCACCATGCTGATCACAAAATCTTTCCATAGCATTCCTCTCCTCACCCAAATCAACATGTGATCCCCAAATAGTCTGAGATTTTCCCTCCCCTTCGAAGTCTCTCATCCTTAATAACCAACAAAATGAGTTTCCTTCCCTCGATAAAACTTTCCTTGACTTTTTACAATAGTAGGCTCATATAATATTTGTCCTTTTGTGATGGACTTACTTTACTCATCATAATGTCCTCTAAATTCATCCATGTTGTCAGATGATTCGTGTGATCTTCATTATTCTTTAATTTGCATAGTATTCCATTGTGTGAATGTACCATAGTTTGGTTATTCAATCATCTGTTGAGGGGCATTTAGGTTGTTTCCATCTCTTTGTTATAGTGAATTGTGCTGCAGTGAACATGGGTATATACATGTCTGTTCGTGTTCTGTCTCTCACCTCTTGAGGATATATTTCTAGTAATGAATTGCTGGATCAAATGGTATTTCTGTTTTCAGTTTCTTAAGGAAATACCATACCATTTGCCAAATGGTTGTACCATTTTTCAGTTCCACCAGCAGTGTATGAGAATTCCAATCTCTCTGCAGCCTCACCAGCATTTGTTATTTTCTGTCTTGTTGAACTTTGCTATTATTGTTGGGGTAAGATGATCTCATTGTTGTATTGATTTCCATCTCTCTAATGGCTAATGATTGTGAGCATTTCGTCATGTGTTTGTTGGATGTCTGTGTGTCTTCTTTGGTGAAGTGTCTGTTCATTTCCTTTGCCCATTCTTGAATTGCGTTGTCTTTTTGGTGTTGAAGTGTTGAAATTTGTTATAAATTTTGGAGATAAGTCTCTTGTCAAATATGTCATAGCTAAGTATTTTTTCCTAATCTGTAGGTTCTCTTTTACCCTTTTGGAGAAGTCTTTAGATGCACATAAGAATTTAATTTTTAAAAGATTCCAGACTTCTCGATTCTCTTCTCGCTCCTGTGCATTCTGGGTTATGCTTGATAGTCTGCTTATGCCATAAATTAGGGCCCCTGCTTTTGCCCCTATCTTATCTTTGATGAACTTTATAGTTTTGGGTTTCACATGTAAGTCTTTGATGCAACTTGAGTTTTTTTTGTCAAATACTTAAATCATTTTAACGTACATCATTCTGAAACATACTTCACACTTCTCTATTTTACTCATATTTTATTCTCTAATTTATTCCTAACTTAGAATCATGATGTATATTAATTTATACTTAATTATGTAAGAATCTTAATTGTTTTAGATTTTGATGTTTAAAAAAAATTATTATTATTCAGCCTCATGTAAGGAGCCCTGGTGGTGCAGTGGTGAAGTGTTCAGCTGCTAACTGAAAGGTCAGGGGTTAGAACCCACCAGCCACTCCACAGGAGAAAGATGAGGCAGTCTGATTCCCTAAATATTTACAGCCTTGAAAACCTTATATATCAGGACTAGTCTGTCCTACAGGGTCACTATGAGTCAGAAACAATGGTAGTGGTTTGGTTTGAGTTTATTATCAGTTTACCTCTCATTGCACAACTAAATCAGATATAGCAATTTTCATGTCCATGCCTAAGGCATCTGACTGCTAACCAGAAGGTTGGCAGTTTAAACCCATCTGCTGGTGGAAGGAAGATGAGGCAATCTTCTTCTGTAAAGATTTGCCACTTCAGAAACCCAAAGGGGTCACTATAAGTTGGGGTCAACTTGATGGCAGTGGGTTTGGTTTTTGTTTTTTTAAAAAGAGTTTCTATTTACTATGAATGCCAATAAAAATGTGCACAAAAGAAAATCTGATAGCTGAAGATGCTAAATTACTGTTATTGTTAGGTGCCGTCAAGTCGTTTCCGACTCATAGCAACCCCATGTACAGCAGAATGAAACACTGCCCTATCCCGCGCCAGCCCCACAATCCCTGCTATACTTGAGCTCATCATTGCAGCCACCATGTCAATCCATCTCGTTGAAGGCCTTCCCCTCTTTCGTCAACCCTCCACCCTACCAAGCATGATATCCTTCTCCAGGGAGTGGTCCGTTCTTACAACATGACCAAAGTAGGTGAGACAAAGTCTGGCCATTCTCACTTCCAAGGAGCATTTCAGGTGCACTTCCTCCGAGACAGATCTGTTAGTTCTTTTAGCTGTCCATGGTACTTTCAGCATTCTTCACCAGCACCACAACTCAAAAGCATCAGTTCTTCTTTGGTCTTCTTTATTCATTGTCCAGCTCTCACATGCATATGAGGCGATTGGAAATATCATGGATTCTGTCAGGCACACCTTAGTCCTCAAGGAAACATCCTTGCTCCTCAGCACTTGAAAGAGTTCTATCGCAGCTGCCCTGTCCAGTGCTACACATTGTCTAATGTCCTCACTGCTGCTTCCATTGGCATTGATTGTAGAACCAAGCAGTGAATTCTTTGACAACCTCAATCTTCTCTCCATTTATTGTGATGCTGCTCATCGGTCCAGTTGTGAGGATTTTTATTTTCTTTATATTGAGATGTAATCCATACTGCAGACTGTATTCAATCAGTAAGTACCTCAGGTCATCCTCACTTTCA